CTCCTCCTCCCCTCTATTCTCCCTCTCCCAGCCTTTCGTCGGGACGTCTCTCCTTTTGTTTCCATGGCATTTTAAGACGATTGAAAGCAGACGACAACGATTTGTTCGTGCACCACTCCATTCTCTGGACACTGACCCTTCTTGCAAGTCGACGTTTGTTTTGTTTTGTTTTGTTTTGTTTTGTTTGGAGCTTGTTGCGCCAGGCCTCCGCCCACCCATGATACCCCTCCTAGCCAACGGTGCCTTGCCCTCGTCGCCCACGTAAACAACACACTGGACGCCGCACTCAACACCCAGCACCCGCTTCGTCGGGTCCTCGATACATCATCCACCCGAACTTGGCACGACGCACCAGCCATCAACAGTCACGATGGCATCCAAATCAAAGTCCCACCCCCTCAATGGGATGCATACCGCCGGCATCTTCTCCGACCTCAGCGCTGATGGACCCCTCATCGGCACCCTTGTCGCTATTGTCGACCGCGCCAAGAACCTGCCCAATCGCAAGACCATTGGAAAGCAGGACCCCTACTGTGCTGCCCGTCTCGGCAAAGAGGCCAAAAAGACGACGACCGATATACGAGGAGGCCAGACGCCCAAGTGGTAAGCTCCGAAGCGGAACTGCCTTGTTGTATGTGATGCTGACCTGACGTAGGGATCAAGAGCTTCGGTTCGCCGTCCACGATTCTCCAGACTACTACCAACTCAAGGTTTCGGTCTTCAACGACGACAAGAAAACAGACTTGATCGGAGAGACCTGGATTGACCTCAGGGACATCATTGTCCAAGGAGGCGGCCAGAACGACCTATGGCACAATCTGACCTGCAAGGGAAAATACGCAGGCGAGGTGCGCATGGAGATTACCTACTACGACACTCGACCCAAGCCAGAGAAGCCCGTGGCAAAAGCAAAGCCAGTCACTTCGGATCCGCAGGACGCCTCCAAGCCCTCGTCAAGGAGCCCCGTCAAGAGACGGCCCCTTCCCTCCGACCCCTTCACCGGCGAGGCCCCCACAGGTGCTGCGTCTCATCCGGAGCCCGTCGCCACTCCACCAAGGGCACTCCCGAGGCAGCCCAGCAGCTACATCCCGAATCAGTCTCCGCTCCAGAATGTGGAATACAACACGCCGCCACCCGCGCCACGCCACCACCAGGGGGACCCCTACGCTGTGTCCCCCCTCCAGTCCCTGCCTCACACGCCAACTTCGGCCGGCCGTTACGAAAGCTACTCCAGCAGGCACGATGACAGAGAGTACAGCCCTCGTCACCAATCCCACCCTTCACAGGACCGACGTGAGTCTCGGGCTCAGCCCAATGGTCGTCGGGAGTCATATGACGTGTTCGCAGCGGAAGACGCCAGGCAGGACTTCCCTGATGATGACGATAGGCCGCCGCCGCCCCCAGTTCACCGCAGCCGACACAACAGCGGCGTCGGTGCCCAGGACGCGATGATCCGTCCAGCATATGAAACCCCGCCCAAAACTACCCCTCTCATGAGGCATGATGTCCTCAAGCATGAGGCTCATCGCCGCTCCGCCCCCTCATACCCTGGCAGGCCCGCCTTCCGCGCTTATGACTCGGCTCCCGCTGCGAACAATCTTCTGCAGAACACTCCTGAGGAGCACTCTCACCACCCATCCCCCCCTCGCCACCACTCGTACGACACGGCATATGAGCCATACCGGTCCATGCAACCTACTGTCGAGGATGCTCCAGAATCTCCTTCTCAATCGGTGGGCAGTGCCCACCAGGTCGTTTCGAGAAGGTCCATGCATGATGACATGGGTTATGACCAAGTGCCATCACCAGCACCTCTGAATCTCAGCGGCAGGGGCAGCGCCGCTAGAGGTCAGCGCGATCCCTCGCCGCAGCCGTTATACTCTCGTCAAGATGACTATGTAGACTATGGACGTCAGCAGCCACTGCCAGTCTCCCCCGTCTCCTCAAGGGAGTATACCCACAGCCCCGGCGACGTCTCCCACCCGTCTCACAGCAGTCAGAGTCAGTACCCTTCGCACAGGAACGAGCTTTCGGGTACGGAAATCCAGGCGTACGACATGCCGTCTGTGCCTCCATCCCTGGTCCCTGGCGTAGACCCCCTTCTGGCCCAGGAGGTCTCGGACCGGATTCACGACGAAAGACGACACGAGAGACGATACACACAGAGCGCTGCAACCCCGCCACGCGGAAGACAGCAATCGCAGCAGCAGATCGAGCCTTCGAATTACGAGTATATGAACTCTCAAAACCCGTACAGCGCGCCATCCTACGATTCTCAATCCATCGTCCCCTACCAAGGTGGCTCGCCAGCGCAACAAGGCCAGGTGGTCAGGGCTAGGAGGTCCGTTTCCCCCATGCCGAACCCCAAACCACACAATCAAACGCAAGTCCGTCAGCCCTGCGCCACCTCCATCGGATGAGCCGGAGGGACGCCGGCTGTCAGGCGTGCCTTTTTGGCCCTGATTCCCTACGACCTTGTTGAACCCGTCTCTTTCTAGCGGAAAGGAGACGCACGCGGACCTTGATGCTAAGATTATCATCCATGATGGACGCGAAATCGAT